GATGGATGGATGGATGGATGGATGGATGGATGGATGGATGGATGGATTTGGAGCTCATGATTGCCAAAATCGAGTTTGGGAAAAATTATGAATAACATTTTTCTGATAATTCTTTTTAATTTCCCAGTGTGATTTGTTTAAATGTTCTGGTCTCCTAGTCTCTGACCCAGTTCCTGGGCTGGTCTGTGCTCAACACTGACACTTACGACAAGATGAACAAGCTGGAGAACAGGAAGGACATCTTCCAGGACATGGTGCTGTACCACGTCAAGTGTCGCAAGGATGAGATCCAGAACATTCTGGTTAGTTGGAAGACATGGGGGGAAAGGCCTGTCGGTCAAAGTCCAAGTCATTTTTATTTTTATGACACATAAAAACAGCAGAAGTTGATTATTTTACAGTTCAAACAAAATCTTGAGACAACAATTGAAGCAAAAACATTAGAGAAATATTTAAAGACCAAGTCAAGGTAAAATAAACAGAAACACCAAAAAAACATCAGCTCTCATTAAATCTCAAACTTTGCCAGAACCGGACACCAAACCCAAAAAAATGCATCAACTTAAAAGTCGCACAAGTTAAGAAGTAAACTATTCCAGAGATGTGGAGCAGCAACCACAAAAGCTGAATAATGTTTATTATCATTTTAAAAATGTTCTATGATTTAATCTCACTTGACGGTTCCAAACGTTTCCAAGTGTCTTGTTTTTCTCCATGTGATTTTAAAGCTTAGTTTAATTAAAAATCTCTGTTTATCGATTTTAGTTTTGATTAATTTTTCAAACCAGCCTCTTGAGTTTCCAAAGAAAAAAAAAGTAAAGCTTGTCAATCTATAAAAGGAGTCCTGTCTCGTGTTCTATTTGAGTTATAGCCATGAAATTGGCGGACGCTAAACAAATTAGTTTTGGACCTCGGGAGAGAGGGTTGAGTCTTATGGAGGAATATTCTTCTGGCAGTTATTTATAACTCAACACAGAAGGGAAGTTGGTTAAAGTAGATGGAAAATATATTTGTTACTTTGATTTTTTTTTGTACTGTACATAAGATTTTTATTAAATTATAACAATTAAGCTATATGTATAAATATGTTTTTATGTGGATTCATATATTTTTATAGAAAAAAAAAAGTCCAGTTCTACCTGTCAACAAGGAGATTCATTGTTCACTTGTGCAAGTATTCCACTGTTGCGTCCCCTTTTAAATGTGGTGTTCCTCAGGGCTCCATTTTGGGATCCACTCTGTTCTCGTTATATGTGCTTCCATTGGGGTTCATCTTTAGAAAACAGAAATTTTTTTGTGCTTCGCTGATGATCTTCAAATCTATTTGCCTATTCAAACAAATAGTAACACGGTCTCTGTTGAACTGATTGATTTATATTAAAAACAGTTCAGTCTCTTTAAAACGGCCTCAGAGATGTACAAACATGGATATAAATCTCTTCAGTCTGAACATAAATAAATAAATAACTCAGAAATAATTTTATTTGGAAAATTGTAAACTTCATGCCAGCTACAACATTTTTACTGGCTCATTAAAGTCTTGGGTAGCGATAGCTGCCCACAGCTCCACCTTGGTGTATCCCAGGTGCGATGGGTTAAATGCAGAGAGTCAATTTTGTCTTTGTATGGAAACCTACAATGATGACAACACATAGCACTTTATTATTATAATTATAATTATTATTATTATTATTATTATTATTATTATTATTATTATTAATGCAGCTCGGTATGCACAAAGTACGTAGCTGATACTTTCCTGGTACAGATGCATTACGTTCTTGTACTTACTAAGTACAAACTTGGCACGTACCAGTTATTCATCTGTTTATTTGTTTGCTTGTTTTTTCAAGTATATGCCTGATACTGTATTTTCCAGACTAAGGCGCACCAGATTATAAGGCATCTGTTTTCACACATAAGGCCCACTGGATTATAAATTGCATTAAGTGAATCAAAACAGTCAGATAAGTCAAATTTCTTTCAACTTCTTCACAATAACCACAAAAAAATTGGTTTGAGGTCAGTAAGCACAACCAGAATTAATACACAAGGCGCACAGCATTATAAGTCTCGCTGTCGATTTTTGAGAAAATTAAAGGATTTTTAGTGCGCATTATAGTCCGAAAAATACGGTTCTCAACAGGTACATACCCAGTAAGTATACTGAGCAACGACTCCGCAACTACCAGGGAAGTATTTGGTGCGTACCCAGTAAGTACCAGTTTTGCAGGTCTATTTTATTTATGTAGTGTATTTTATTTTAAGTGGATTTTATTGTATGTTAGTTCACCTGCAATGTTTTTTATATTTAAACATTTGTGTGGCATTTTTTTAAATGATTGACAATGAAATTCATGTGTATTAAAAAAACACAATGAAACACTTTCAGTTTATCAAGGATGTGATGCAGACGAAGAAAATTAAAGGTTGGTCCTGCAAGACACTGCTGAAGAACAGTACGTTGGTGTTGTACAAAACGAACCAAGCCAGTTCAGAGACAACTTTTTTCATGCAGCTGATATAAAAAGCAGGCGAGCAGCATCTGTAAACTGAAATGAGCTGTCAGATTTTCTATGAGGTGATTTGTCAGAAAACGGAGAGGGAAGAAAAGCTGAAAGACATGACTGTGTTTGACCTCAGATCAAGAGTCAGCTGATTGATGCTGCTGTGCTTGATCCAAGGTGAGAGTTTATGAAGTATGCTTGTGCAGGACACCAAGAGGAGGTGGGGGAAGGAACCAGATGAGTGCGAGGAGGAGGAACTCCAGGAGATTCTGGTAAAAATCAAAACATTCAGCTTGTGCTTGAAACATTCATTAGTTACATGCATCAAATAAAACAATAAAATGTTAGAATTAACATTTTTTTTAATGTTTTCCATTTTTATATTGCCCATATTATCCTATAATAATGGTGAATAATTAATGTGAAAGTGTTATCACAGTTTGTAACAAACATGGGTCTGTCCATCTGCTTTTCTCTTCAGTCAGAAGTTCTACCAAACTCTAAGAAATCTGAGATTTTTGAGTTTCACTTCTGCGACTTCGAGCACACCGAGCTGGATCTTGTGAAATGTGGCATCAAGATGTACTACGAGCTGAAGGTGGTGGACAAGTTTCACATTCCCAGAGAGGTATGTGCTTAATGTCCCCAGTTGCAGAGCAAAGAGGGGGAATTGGGAATACCCACTGCCCGTCTGTGCATGTTGTGAGCATGGTAACTTGGAAATATAAGTGAGGCACTGACTTCCATTTTGGTCTGTGGCTACATCTAGGTGGGAAAAAGGTCATTTTCAAAAAACGGGTTGCAGTAAAATAAGAAGCAAAGTTTATGCTTGGCCTCTGAACCTTTAAATAAAGACAACGTGGTTCTACATGGAAATTTAATGCTCCACTGTGAGAGATCCAGTGTGAGTCTAGTGGCATAAATTGCAATTTGCACCAAAATGGCTGAAGCATTCAGGAAACAAGCTGTACCTACTGCAGATGTAGAATGAGATCTTCTCAGGCTTTCAGATGAGTAATAATAATCAGATTCAACCTTTTTTATTGTCATTGCACAGAAGCACAACAAAATTACATTTCTGTACAGCTGTCCAAAGAAAATAGCATGGATAGACAGGGATGCCTGAGGCTGCAGCCTCGTGGGAAGCGCTGCCCTTTTGGTTTAGATAAAGAAAAGGGGAAAGATGAGGAAAGAGGAAGTATTAAAAATATCATATCTCACACTGTGTCCTTGACGGGACACTGCGAGATTGCAAATAAAACCTCAGCACAAGAAAGGCAACATACTGGTGACGTAAAGACATGCATGTGGACTGGGTCAAGGTGGGGGTCCCAGCACAGGCCACCCAAGTGAGGGATGCAGCACTGGAGCCTTCACATATACCTAGGCTGCAGCACCAAGATGGCAAATGAGGGAGGCCAGCGAAGGCGGTGAATTGAAGGAGAAGTAGTCCGTGAACACTGTCCAGATACCATCCCCCCTCCCCCAAACCATAGTCCTGATAAGTGATGGTGCAGTGTTTATCAGCTGGCGCCGTAGAGCTCTGACACAGGCCCATGTCATTGTGGAAGGAAGCTGGTAGGGAAGAGGAGAGCAGAGCGACTTGTTCACATAAAATCCAGGAGAATTTGAGATAGTCAACCTTCCAAGGCCGACGTGGGGGGAGCCAGATTCAGATAGCAACAGTTGTTTTGGGCCAGGCCGAATAAAAGTGCATTGTTGACATAAAACTCTGTCAAGTCAATTGTATTTATAAAGCACATTTAAAACAGCAGATGTTACCAAAGTGATCAATAGGAGTAATTTAATGGAAAAAAAAAAAAATTAATTAAAAACATCAAAAGAAAAAAAAAAATCCCACAGAACAATAAAATACTAAATCAAATCATACTGTATTAGAAGTCAGAGGAAACAGGTGTTTTCAAATGAGATTTAAAAACAGGAAGTGAAGTGGCCTGTCTAATGTTGGGGGGGGGGGCAGATTGTTCCAAAGTTTAGGGCCCACAACTGAAAAAGTCTGATCTCCTCTGAGCTTCAGCCTGGTTTTTGGAACAGCCAAATCAGCTAATCAGATGATCTCATCTCCCGAGAAGGATCATAAAGGTAGAAGAAGGTCAGAGAGGTATGAAGGTGCAAGGCACTTTAGGCACTTAAAGGTCAACAGGACAAATTTAAAATCAATTATGATACGTACAGGGAGCCGGTGAAGGGAGGACAAAACTGGTGAAATATGCTCAAACCCATGAGTTCCTGTTAAGAGCCGAGCTACACCATTTTGGACGAGCTGGAGACGTGAAAGGGAGACCTGACTGACCCCAACATGAAGAGCATTACAGTAGCCTAGTTGGGTAGTAATGATGTTGTGGACTTTTTTTTTCAAGGTCAGATCTGGTCAAGACATAATTAATCTACCTTAACTGGAATAAACTTTTCTGCACAACAGAAATGGACATTAATTGTATTCTCTGCATTGCAACTCTGCAGTCATTGTTCCTCTTTACTTTCGGAAGAAAACTGAGAGGTTTAAATGGACTGTACTTGTATCACCTTTCTACCTTATCGTGATACTCAAAGCGCTTTACAACACAATCTGTGTCCTCATTTACCCATTCATTCAGCACTCTACTAGATCTCTACAAAGCTAATTGAACAAATCATTCTAAAGAGACTGAGTGCTCTATGACATTGATACACCGATGGGACACACAACGGAGGCAACAAGGGGTTCAGTGTCTTGCCCAGGGACACTTCGGCACGTGACTACTGGTGGATTCGAATCCCCAACTCTTGCAATGGAGGACGACTGCTCTAACCACTCAGCCACAGCCGCTGCTAGTTACTAAAGATGCTCAGCAGGTGCAATTCAGATTCACTCTTGTGGCTTGTAAATCTTTAGTGAGCTCATTACCCTCTCTCTTAAGAGTTGATAGGAATTTGGCTAGCTTGACACACTAGAGAGATTGTTTACAAGCATAAAGATGCAAATCACTATATATAGATACTGTATTTGCCACTATAAACGTCGCACCACTGTATAAGTCGCATCAATCCAAATATGTCTAATAAAGTGGAAAAAATATAAATATGTCACTTTGCCATTTAATTTGCATCTATTATACGTCATCGCTGCTGCGTTGCGTTTGTTACGTGTCACCGCTGACAACCTGGAAATGTGGGCCGGCATTGTGCCAAAAATCGATGGGCTGCCAAATGGCAGCCACGGGAGCATGCACGGGAGGACTTTAATAAGAATTGAACAAAATTAGCACTTAAAAATAATTATTTGTTTGCTCGAAATAATAGCAAAGGTGTGTCTCAGTTTCACTTTTCCTTAATAAATGCACTTTAACTGTCACATTGTAAAGTTTGCAGATGATACAGCGGTGGTGGGATGCATCACAAACAATGATGAGTCCAGCTAAAGGCAAGAGGTGGAACACCTGGAGAGCTGGTGCAAAGAGAAAAACCTTCACATCAATGTGAAGAAGACAAAGGAGATGATTGTGGACTTCAGAAGGAACAAAAACACCTACACCCCCCTGAACATAAGAGGATCTGCGGTGGAAGTGGTCTCCAGCTACAAGTACTTGGGTGTACACATGATTGACAACCTCAGCTGGAGCAACAACACCACCAGCCTGATCAAGAAAGCTCCACAGAGACTCTACTTCTTCAGACGGCTGAGGCGAGCTGGTCTGGGAAGTTCAGTCCTCACCTCCTTCTACAGGTGTGCAGTGGAGAACATCTTGTGCTCCAGCATCAACATGTGGCATGGAGGCTGCACAGCTGCAGAAAGAAAAGCTTTGCAGAGAGTGGTGAAGGCTGCACAGAAATCTATCGGAATCAGCCTCCCCACCATCACAGACATCTACACCTCCAGATGCAGGAAGAGGGCCACCTGCATCATGAAGGACCCCACTCACCCAGCACACACACTTTTTGCCCCACTCCCCTCAGGAAGGAGGTTAAGGAGCATTAAGTGTAGAACCACTAGACTGAGGAACAGCTTCTACCCTGAGGCTGTTAGACTCATGAATCTCTAACTAGAATAATCACTGTGAAAAACCATATCATGTTGCTGCTGATCTGTTTCATGTTGCTGCTGATCTGTTTCAATGTTGATGTGTTCATGCGTGCGCATCTGCTCACAGACTCATGTTCATGTTTGTGCTGATGTTCAATGTTTTATGTTATGAGTGCTTAGTGTATATTTAGTTGATGTTTTTCTTAGTTCATATCTTAGATGTTATTACTGTTTTTCTTATACATTTTATTGTTGGATGTAACTGGGACCTTGTGTACATAATTTCGCTCCACCACATGTACCACATGAGGTGCGAATGACAATAAAGAAACTCTGACTCTTTAACAGTCAAATCAGTTGCATTTCAAAAGCCGATTCGCAGAAGTGGGAGTGCGCAGAGGGAGGACCCGTTGTGCATTTCTTCGAAATTAAACAAGATAACCACCTAAAAACATTTATTTGTTAGCTCGAAATTATAGTAAAGGTGCGTCTAGGTTGAACTTTTACTTAATAAATGCACTTCAGTGGTCAAATTAGCTGCATTTCGCCGGGGCGGTGCAGTGAAATGAAGCTGATTTGACGGTTGCTCCAAACATGATCACGGAGCTGTACTAAGATAGCTAACTAAGGCAAGCAGATTGTGTCATTAATAGCCACTTTTATCTATTACATGACATAACGGCATGCCATACTACTCGAGTGCCATGTAGTGGCTCAAAATGGTAGTGTTCAACATTTTCAATGTCAGGATGAATGAAAACGGTCGTATCTCAGCCAAAAATTGGTTTATAAATATGGGGGGAAAAAACATAAATAAGTCACTTCGGCGTACAAGTCGCAGGGTATGCAAATTGAGCAAAAAGGTGCAACTTATATGCCAGAAAATATGGTAACTACAATGATGAGCCAAACTATCATTTTTGTTCAACAGCTCTTGTCATGTTGATACAAACTGGAGCAGTAACATGTTTTTTTGTTTTTACAGGTCTTGGTGAGATTCATGTACTCTGTCAGTAAAGGATACAGGAAGATCACCTACCACAACTGGAGACATGGATTCAACGTTGGACAGACCATGTTCACACTGCTGATGGTCTCACAGCTAATCTGACTCCCTCCTCCACTTCCTTCTATCCTCCTTTACTCCCTGGTCTCCCCCACTCCTCTCATTTAGCCCACACCTCACATCTTCTCTATTCAAGGTGACAAAGAAATTGTTCTCTCTCCCTCTTTGTGTTTTCTTCCACAGTCCCCCCCCCCCCCTTATTTTTTCCTGGAATATACTGTGAATGTGCTAATGCATAGTTTAGTGTTTATGTGTACTTGGAACAAGAGCAAAAATAAATAAATGACAGTGAGAATGGGCTATGTCATAATGTAGTACGTACGTTAGTTGTGTTCAGACCTTCTCTCCCTCTGACTCTTGTGTTTCTGTTGGGCTCAGACCGGTGATCTGAAGCGTTACTTCACTGACCTGGAGTGCATGGCCATGGTGACCGCTGGCTTCTGTCATGATATTGACCACAGAGGAACCAACAACCTCTACCAGATGAAGTAAGGAATCAGAACAGACTTTGTTTTTTATACTTGGTGAACGTCAGACTGTGGAGTCATTCTGAGCTTGATCGATCGACACGATGGATAAACTGTCGTGGGTGCAGACGACCTGAGGTTTGGGTGAAAGTGACATGATGAGGGACCATCAGTTATTTGTTATTGACCTGATGCTCCTCCAGCTGCTCCGCTCCACCTGCTGATGGATGAGCTAATGAGAGTGGCCATTAGCTTTGGACACACCAGCCCAGGCGTCCTCTGAGGTTTAACATGCGTGATTTATCACAGTATAACCTCCCATCGTGCTGCGTGTGCGTGTGTGTCCAGATCTGGTAATCCTCTGGCGAAGCTTCACGGCTCCTCGATCCTGGAGAGGCACCATCTGGAGTTCGGCAAGACTTTACTGAGAGACGAGGTGCGTTGACCTACATGCAGACGGGACAGGGCAGTGGGAAGACCTAAAGAATATTTCAGCAATTTCTGGCTAAATGAAATTCCATCTTTTGGCACCATTTCCTTCAAGCTGCATTTGTTGAAAGTTAACAAAAGCGTTGGTATTTGATAAAACACCCATTTATGTTTGTTGTAGTTGTTTTTAACCATTTTCTGTGACTTTATGTATTTTATCCAACATTTGTTACTTGCAGTATTTCCTTTCTGAAATAAATTCATGCTCGTCTTCTAGCTGCAACCCTCTCTCAGCACACCTTGTTCACACTTTGTCGAACTTTTATTTGAAGTGACTTCCTGCCTTTTTTTTTTTTCTCGTGTTTCAGGCTTTAAACATTTATCAGAATTTGAACCGCCGTCAGCATGATCTCGTCATTCACCTCATGGATGTTGCTATAATTGCCACGGACCTGGCTCTCTACTTCAAGTCAGTGTGACTAAATTATTTTACAAGCATTTTTGATTCAACAGGAAATATATATTTTTCTATTTAATCAAGATGCTGCATTTTACTTTATTATTAATGGGAAAAAACACATCAATCCTTTTAGCTAAAGTGAGTTTATGTTTAACTCGGTGCTTAATTTGTAAACCAAATGATGCCGGAACGCAAATAGCATGGGGTGGGGGTCTGGGGGCCCTCCACCAGACAATTTTGAATAAAGTAGATGTCATCTCCTGCATTCTGGTGTATTTTAGCAGGTTATTAAACATCCACGTTTACCTACATTTGTAAACACTTGATTCAGTAACTTTTTGTAGCACAGCTCTCTTCTTGTGTGAATAGAGCATGCTCCACTACCGCGTCGAGTCCTAGCTCCATCACCACTGCCTTCATGTGCTCCAATTCTCAGTTGTTTAGTTGTACAATGAGAAGACTTTTTAAAAAATGAAAGTAAATTGGATTGTCTTTTTGACATTTTGATCGCTGTTATTTTGACAAATTGTCATCGTTGTTTTGAAACCTGACGTACATCACGTGATTACCCATCAAACGTTTCTCTCATTTTTCGTAAATCAAAATTTTATTAATGACCCTCTTAATCTGTAAAACTGATTTGGAATTTCGTTGTGATGTTTAATTATATTTTTGTGTTTTTAATTAAATTGCCAATGACTTAACTTTAAGTGGCGAATATATTTTTTTTTTTAAGGGTAGAAGCAGAATTTTTTTAGTTGAAGGGGCAGCTCTGATGTGATATTAGGAAGCTGTTATGTTTAAAATTAGTGTTTATGTATTTTTTTTCCCAGATTCCATATCCAATAAGTTTTATTCGTTCAAGGCAGTTCAGAACTTTATTATTAGTAAGCCAGTAAGTTCCAGGAACTTGTCTTAAGCGCAGAGGGGACAGGGCCTTCTCTGTAGCAGGACCAAGACTTTGGAACGAGTTACCTCTGCTTGTCAGACAGGTCCCCTCCCTCTCGGTTTACAAGTCCCGTTTAAAAACTCACTACTATTCAGTAGCTTTCAACACCAGATGATCTGTGTTTTGAACCTGTACGCTCCACACTGGTTGGTCGTCATTATCTGCATCGTTTTTTTGTCTAGATTTCTGATTTACTTCATTTTGTATTTTGCTTTGTGTGTTGCCTGTTGTTCTGTCTGTACAGCACTTTGGTTGGCCTTGTCGCTGTTTTAAGTGCTCTATAAATAAAATGGTATGGTAATTATTTTAGGAAACTCTGTTTTCTAGTTTTTATATTGCTTTAAAATATAGTTTCCACAAATGATTGGGGTGGCTGAGGATGAATCTATAGGGGCCAAAGCCACCATTGGCCACCCCCTGACTTTGCCATTGCGCCTGGTGGTGGATAAATTGTTCACTCAGTTCGTCAGGATCTGTCCACCGTGCCACCTTGGATGACAAAAAAAAACCCTCTGTTCTTCTCTACAGTGTAACTCTTACCCTCTTAAAAATATTTAACAAAAAAACATTAAGGTTGACTCACATTTCTTGGTCAATCCCAGTCAAGACAAACAATCATCTCAAAAATTACACAGTATTTAAATCCCTCACGACGGGAGACATCGTTAGAAAGTGTTTTTAGTGGTGGGTGCTAGTGAACAGAAGTCTACAATCTCTGTCCAAATGAGATGTTCTTCAATGTTGTTTGTTTCTGCTCAGGAAGAGAACAATGTTTCAGAAGATTGTGGATCAATCCAAGACCTATGAGAACTGGAACGACTGGACAAAATACATGATGCTCGAGACCACTCGCAAAGAGATTGTCATGTAGGTAGAGATGTACACAAAGACTGCTGTCAGAAGGAACACAGGAATAACAGAGGCGTCGTGTTTTCAGGGCCATGATGATGACTGCCTGTGATCTTTCTGCTATCGCCAAGCCATGGGAGATCCAGAGCAAGGTAGGTCCATGCAGAATCTCTGAAAATGTGGCCTTATGTTTATCTGCTCGCTGCAATGAAACACACACAGGTAGAGGTTCATCGCGAGCCAAAGATAAACTCGGCTACAAATGGTGTTTTGTCGGCGCTTCCATTAATCTCAGCAGAGGTTCCTGATGACCTCGTGCATCAAAGCGACCTGCTGCTTTTTATTCTCCTCATCACCACCTGCCATGCTCAGCATCTTATTTTAATGAAAAATGTATTATGCACATTACCATTAAGAATTACCAGGTCAATAAAAAACACACACGTCTGGCTGTTTGATAACCAGAGCCCCATGATCATTTTTTTTACCTTTCGTCTGACTGGAGTTATCAGGCAAAATGTTTCTTCTCAGCAGCAGCTGCTTTGAAGCTGTATGCACACGCAACAGCAGAACGTTTGCAGCAATTTCAAGAATACTGCAGAAAATTAAGTGGATTTACAAGCATAGTTACTTAAATTTGATCATCTGAAATGAAATGCATGTCCCTTTATCTGAACTCTTGGGTCATTCATTTTCAAGCATTAAAGAATTCTGAGGGGTGTAAGCTGTGAATAAATAATTAATTTATAGCAAATGTATCCCAGTACATAAAGACTGATGCAATGATGTATATAGACATTGTTAAAAATCAGTTTTAACACGACCAGAACCATGAAGTTTACTCAGAGTGATCACAGATTAGGTCTCATCCAAACCTGTATTTTTCCCTTTCATAGTCTTGCCTGTTTAAAACATCCATCCATCCATCCATCCATCCATCCATCCATCCATCCATCCATCCATCCATCCATCCATCCATCCATCCATCCATCCATCCATCCATCCATCCATTCTCTTCCGCTTATCCGGGGTCAGGTCGTGGGGGTAGCAGCTTGAGTAGGGAGGCCCAGACTTCCCTCTCCCCAGCCACTTGGTCCAGCTCCTCCGGGGGAATCCCAAGGTGTTCCCAGGCCAGCTGAGAAACATAGTCCCTCCAGCATGTCCTGGGTCTTCCTCTGGGTCTTCTCCTGGTGGGACGTGTTTGGGACACCTCACCAGGGAGGCATCCAGGAGGCATCCTAACCAGATGCTCAAGCCACCTCAACTGTCTCCTCTCGATGTGGAGAAGCAGCGGCTCTACTCTGAGTCCCTCCAGGATGACCAAGCTTCCCATCCTATCTTTAAGGGAGAGCCCAGTCACCCATTCCGGCCGCCTGTATCTGTGATCGCGTTCTTTCGTTCACAATCCAAAGCTCATGACCATAGATGAGGGTAGGAACGTAGATCCACCAGTAAATTGTGAGCTTCACCTTTTGACTCGGCTCTCTCTTCACCACGACGGACCGGTACAGCGCTCGCTTCACTGCTGACGCCGCACCTATCCGCCTGTCGATCTCTCGCTCCATTTTTCCCTCATTCGTCAACAAACTTACTTAAACTCCTCCACTTGGGGCAGGACCTCCTCCCTGACCCAGAGAGGGCACTCTACCCTTTTCCGGCTCAAGACCACGGCCTTCGATTTGGAGGAACTGATCCTCATCCCGGTCCCGTCACACTCGGCTGCGAACCGCTCCAGTGAAAGATGTAGATCACGACCTGATGAAGCCAATAGGACCACATCATCTGCAAAAAGCAGAGACGATCCTAAGGCCACCAAAACGGATCCTCTCAACACCTGTTACAATATGTGAAGAGAAAATCTAGAGCTGTTCTGTTTTATGTAAGAAACGTTTCAGTGGTTAAAATTTTACACTTCTCAGTTCCTGATGAAAACAACGCTGACTTTCTGCACAGGCCTCGCAGCTACTGTTCCCTCAAAACTGTCTTGATGACGCATCTTTTTAAAAAAATGAGCTTTCCATCCTGAATACAACATTTTTTTTAATGATTCAACAGATTTCTGAATATTTTTCAGTTTATAAAGGAAGACAGAAGCTTTCATTTCATCACAACACTTCTTCGTTCTTCATCAACACTGCTCACTTGTGGAACATTGTGATAGCTTTAAACTGTTACAATATAAAAGGCACAGTGGATCAGTTGGTAGAGATGTTGCCTCTCAGCGAGAAGGTCATCGGTTCAAATCCCAGCTGGGAGACTTTCTGGATGGATCTCCGTGCATGCGTGAGTTTTCTCCGGGCACTCCTGTTTCCTCCCACAGACCAAAAACATGCATGTTAGGCTGATTGATAACGCTAAATTATCTCTAGGTGTGAGTGAGAGTGAATGGTTATTTGTCTTGTTTGTCTCTGTCCCTGTGATGGACTGGAGACCTGTCCAGGGTGTCCCCTGCCTCTCACACAGTGACTGCTGGACATGGACACCATTGACCCCCATGACCCGGAAAGGAAGAAGCGGGTAAAAGATGATGGATGGATGGATATAAATGTGTCATTTTGTTATTATTAGTTAGCAGCACAGTGGTTTAGTGGTTTGCACTGTATTCCTACAGGAAGCAGGTTCTGGGTTTAAGCCCCAGATTGGACTTGGGGTCTTTCTGTGTGGAGTTTGCATGTTCTCCTTGTGGGTTTCTCAGGTTCTCCGGTTGTCTCTCACAATCTAAAACGTGCATGTTAGGCTGCCTTCAGGCCTAGGCCTTCCTCCAAGAAGAAACATGTGATCTCAGTGGGACTGGCCTGGTATAATAAAGGTTAATTAATGTAAATCAGCATTATGAGTTCTCTTCTCTAGCAGCAGTTTCATCAAATATTAAGATGTGTGAATGTCTGAAAAACTAATGTTGCTGCTTTGGTTTTACTTTGAGCAAGTGATTGAGAATGTTTAGTTTTGTCTGGGTGCATTAAGTGATTTGATGCAGGGCATGACGTAAAAAATGTTGTTCTCCTCCAGGTGGCACTTTCTGTAGCTGCAGAGTTCTGGGAGCAGGGAGACCTGGAGAGGACGGTTCTGGAGCAGCAACCCATCGTAAGAACACCTAAGATCAATAGATACGTGTAACTTGTCTTTCTTTTTAACGCATTTAGCAAATGCAGGGGCTTATTGATGATGTCCTGCTAATGTTTTTTTGCACTTATTAAGAAACTGAAAATAAATAAAATAAAAATAATGTGATTTTCCTAGTGTGAAAAGTCAAATTGTTAAATGTTTCTCAACGTTGTGACCAATGACCTGTGGTGCATCATGGGATTAGATTATTGGCAGAGTGAGCGATCTTGAGCTGTAGCTTTCTGTGTGACGGTGGTCACATTACCAGCTCCAACCAAGTTTCTGACTTTAAATTAAATTAACTGTAAAATCATTACGATACATTTTTCAACCATTTTTTATCACAAATGCTGAAGTGGCCCAAACTTCCTCCACTGTGTTGCTACACAATTAATGACCCTAAAATGCAAAACAAACTGTTCATTGTTGTTGTTTTATTATAATTTTGAAAAATCGAGAGTTAATCCATTACATATTATTGACTTTGTCAGAGTTAAATGTTTCGCTTTAACAGGAAATTATGTTTCAAACAAATAATTTAAAATAAAATAGACCTAAGTCCATTAATGTGCAGCTGTCATCGTAATTGTCTGTTTTGATTTCCATTATCTTATCTTATTAAAATGATTGTAACTCATTACTCTTGGATTAAAAAGGCAACACCTAATTAGCATGTTGTGTACAAAAGTAACAAACAACTGTCATGCAAATGGCAGCTTTTTATTTAGTACAGCAGAGCCCTATATATATATATTTCATCATTGTAAACACATAGCACACTAAATGTCTCTAACATAAATTAAAGTAAAATTTGCTTTTCTAACCTTTATACCAAATGATAAAAAAGAAAGTTCATAATTATGTTCCTTCTGGCCAGGATTTTCATCCCCTGCTTTGTTAGAGATATTTACTGAGCTATGTGTTATCACTTTATGTTCCTATACATTGATGAAATTAGTTCTCTGCATTTAACCCATATCACACCTGTGGTGCACCCAGGTGGAGCGGCGTGTGGCTATGTGGGTGCCCAGGGAGCAGTTGGGGATTGGGTGTGTTGCTCAAGGGCACCACAGCATGTGGGCATGACCGGGAGTCGAGCAGCGACTTTCTGGTCCCAGTTCGGCTGCCCTCCCTCTATACCATCTCGGCCCCTGTTAACATTATATAAAAGAAGGAAAAACTGTGTTTTGTAAACATTTAATGAACTGGTTTCTTGTCAAGTTGAAAGTTTTGTGATTAAATCAACAAAAACGTGAAGAAAAAGGAACATAATTCTGAAACCAAAGGTTTTGGAGCAATTGTTTGGTCTTTGTTAAGGTGCATGACCTTTTTTTAATGCTTCATGTACAAAATGTTCATGGTTGCAAATGCAACTTGCTTTTGATTTTTAAAAAAGGACGTGTGCTTTGTAAAAAAATACAATGTGGCAAACGGCAAAACAATCAGACACTGTTAGGAAAAAAAAACAAGTTGAATCCTTTTGAACATTATTAAAACAAACAGTAAGGATCATGTGTTATTTTTTAATATTTGATTTAATTATCTAAATAAAATTGGTTATTTTTTATACTTCTTAAAGAACATTGAATGTAAGGAAAAGGGATAAACTGAAGGGCCCACTCAGCAATTAAAGTTGTGGCTCTGGAAGGATGTGATGAACGCAGAAACGCAGTGGGAAGACAAAACGAAAGGACGAAGTAAAGTCCCTGTGGCGGCGGCGCTGAGCAGACGCCATTATGTGGAGCACTGAATCAGAAAGATCGGTCGCTGCGGCCTCGACCCAGCCGACCCCATCCTTTCTCAGCTCCCCGCGTTTCGCTCGGTTGTGTTCCCTAACGTCCTTGAGACCCTCCAAGTGCGAGAGAACCACCTTACACTGTTCCACCTCTGAAATTAACAGCAGCTGTCGGCAGGGGAAACGTTTCACTTTGATTAGTTTGTACTTTTCCAGCACAGAGAGACTGTCAGGCCGTCTTTATCAGGAAATGTGGGCGAGTAATTTTCCTTACAACTGGAGTCAGCACGAGCTTTCCACTGGATCTCAGTGTGTTGCTTAATATATTTTATGTGTGCTTTGAATACGATTGCAAAAATACAACCGATTTACTTCACATGGTTTATTTCAGTAGTTTTTTTAAAACTCTAAACCAACAAACTAAAGATCTAGATTCTGTTTTCAACATCCAAGCACCCACACAAAGAGGTACTAGAAGATTTTCTCACTGCTGCTTCAAAGAAAAAGTCAGTTTCATGTTATTTAATGAAACGATGAGCAGAAACTGACGTTACAGCGTCTTCGTCAGAATCGGAATTTCTGTCCATCTGTGCATTTTGCGAGCAAGATAACTTGAAAAGTCACCAAGGTACTGATTTTCATCGTGGTGCATGGCTACATCTTGACATAAGAAATGTTCCTGTCAAAATGTCAAAATCCAAGATGGCTGCCATGTTAACCTTGTGAGATGGATTACTTGAAAAGTCATGAACTTGCTTCATTTTTGGTGTGTTGCTTTATATAGATGTAAGAAGGGTCACCATAAAAAATCCAAGGTGACCATCAGATACATATGTGTAAACAGACCACCTCTATCGTTTGAGGAAACAATGTGTTCTGGTTTTTATATTTCTTAAAGGTATAGAATCCTCAAATGACCAGGGAAGCCAAATATTACCATAATTTCCAGACTATTGAGCGCACCTGAATATAAACCATGCCCACTAACTTTAACATGAAAAACAAATTGTACACATATATATAGGCCGGTCTTGTGTATAAGCCTCAGGTGTCTACGTTGTAATGAGATATTTACACAAAGATTTTCTTTTTTTACTTTGAATTACATATGTACTGGTGACAGACACAAAACGTACAGTAAATGTTTGTTTTTGTCTGAACAGCGCTTGTAACATGGCTGTTTAAATAAAATACAGTAGCCTACCAGGAAGTCGTTGATCACTATCGTCATCTTCCTCCTGTGCACTGCGCCCATGAGCTTGTGCTGTCCTCCATCACTCGGATGTCTTTCAAAACCCGTTGGCGTCTGCGGATTTTTTTTGACACTGCTCCACTGTCAGGACGGCAGACTTGAGCAAAAGTTGCTCTTTGCATGCGGCCGGTTTTGGTAAACGATTTCTTGCCGCCAGTCATCCTCCCACTGAGTGCCATTTTAAATGCACGATTCACATTTAATCCGAGTGGCTGCAAACACATTGTTGTGCACGAAGGGGAGGGGAGGAGAGAACAGTGAGGGGGGGGGGGGGGGACACCGTGTTTCATTGGTCCACTGTGACTTGTTCAGTTTTTTCATCGGTTAGATTTTTTTTTTACTTTATTTATACAGGTAGTCTCATTGAGTCATGAGGACTCACCCCCTAAGAGAGACGTGTATTGGGCGGATATGAGAGCGTCCGGGTGTGACGAGGCTAAATAATTTGGCGGCATGAAGCTTGTCAAAAAGATAATAATCCATAAATTAACCGCAGCATTGTATAAGCCGTGGTGTTCAAAGCGTATGAAACAAGTAGTGGCTTATCGTCTGAAAATGAAGGTGATCTTGGTGGCCAAGGCTACCACTGGCCACCTGTTGGCTCCTACATTGCACCTAGTCACAAATAAATTGCTCCCTCTGCCAGAATCCATCACAATGAGCTGCCTCGAAAAGGCAAAACAAATAAATAAAACTACTGCTGTTCTTCTCCACTGTGTGACTCGTATCATATTTAATATAATGCACCAAAAACATTGAGGTTTACTTACATACTCTGTTCAGTTCCCATCCAGAAAAGGCTCATCTCATTAATCACTTTTCAAATCCTTCAGACGTACCGCTTGTTAAATTTTTAATTGTGCTGTGGCCGATAAAACAAGTCCACATAAAAATTTAATATTTAAAAATATTATAACATGATATTAAACATTGGACAAATAATTTGCTACATTCATAAAAAAATAAACTTGGTTAAACGACTCTGTCACTCCCCCCACCACTCCCAGGAGTCATGCTCCACTGCTTTAATGTGTGGAGCATGTTAGTAAAATAACATTTGTCAGTAAATATTTACTGCAGATCAGAGACAGTTTGATCCTCTGATGTGTAAAACGTGTCTTCACAGTTCAGATCTGCAGAATAAAACTGTGCGGTTTAAAAATGTTGGTTTATTTTAATCACTCTGGTTTCCTCCCGCAGACAGAAAAATACTTTTTCGACTCAAGTCTAAGTCATGTGACTCGAGTCCACACCCCTGGTACCCCGCCTTCCACACAGTGCCTGCTGGACATGGGCACCAGCTCCCTCAACCCTGCATGGAAGAGTGTCTAAAAGAAGTTTAATGATGCGTTTACTTGTCTGTCTTCAGCCAATGATGGACAGGAACAAAGCGGACGAGCTGCCAAAGCTGCAGTGTGGTTTCATCGATTTCGTCTGTTCGTTCGTCTACAAGGTCAGACATTAAACCACAAAAATAAGCTGCCGTTGGAAATATTAAAAAATGACATGCTTTGGTTCTAATTAAGGGGATTATTTTAAAGTTGTATGAGAATAGTTAGTTGTTTATGCAACATCTGGTAGTGGGGATGTGTTAGACCATGAACTGATAAATGTTCGTATTTTTGACATAAAAACTGTTTTTATAATAATTTTAATGATATAATAATTTATAATCATTTTCAGTCAATCCAACAAAGTTAGGCCAGGTTCTCTGGATGGTTTATTTTTGCCCTTCATCCAAAGGACTTCATCAGTCCGAGGAGCCACAACAAACTCAGTCCCAGAAGCAGCACACTCCCATAGTGGACCAACCAGTTTGATGGTGATAAGATGGTCTCTGGAGTCCGCCCTGTCCCCCGTCGACTCCTCTGAGGCAGCAGTGGCTGGAGTGGTTGAAAACATCAAAGTTCATGCTCAATAATCTGAGTTTGTTGAGGCTCCTCTGACCTCTCCTCAAACTGATGAAGTCCTTTGGATGAAGGACGAAACGTTACAACAACAAAAACAAAAAAAGAGAGAAAGAAACCGTCCAGAGGACCTGACTGAACTTTGTTGGATTTTTTTACCTGGATTATTGAGCATGAACTTTGATGTTTTGAACCACTTTGGCCATGGCTCCTCAGAGGAGTCGACGGGGGAGAGGGCGGACTCCAGAAACCATCTTATCACTATCAAACTGGTTGGTTCACTATGGGAGTGTGCTGCTTGTGGGAGTGAGTTTATTGTGGCTCCTGGAACTGATGAAGTCCTTTGGATGAAGGACGAAACGTTACAACAAATAAAGAAACCGTCCAGAGGATCTGACTGAACTTTGTTGGATTTTTTTTTACCTGGATTATTGAGCATGAACTTTGATGTTTTCAGTTAAGATTTTTTGCTGTTGTAAATGTCATTTTGTTTTTTAATCATCTTTTTGTGATCCCCAGGAGTTCAGTCGTTTCCACGTAGAGATCACTCCCATGCTGGACCGTCTGCTGAACAACAGGAAGGAGTGGAACGCCCTGAAGGAGCAGCACGAAGCCAAACTGGCCGCCATCGAAGAAGCTAAAAAGGCCAAGGAGGAAGCGGCTCAGAAGGCTGCAGCAGCTAGACAAGGTGAGCAGCTAAAGAAATATTCACACACGCAGGAACAGTAAAACTTTAGTGACACATTTAAATAATAAATGATCTAACAAATTATGTTCCTTCTTTTTATTTACGCTTCTTTGCTTTTTTCCTTCCTATCTTACATTTTCAGCTTCAAGTGCATCCCAGTCGAAGACGTGTGTTCTCAGTTAAAGATACGGTGGGGACACCGCCACGCTGGCGGCACGCTTGGGGTCTTTTTAATCTGCGGTGGGATTTTTGAGCTCGCACTTGACGAATCCATCTCACTGAGAGGTCGTTTCTCTTTCAATAACCCGTCTCTGTCAGGTGCAAATTGAAACTTCTCTTCTCGAAGCAACTTTTTCTTTCTCTTTTGCTTTCCCTCTGCACTTGTTCTTCCCATGTGGGATGTTTTCGTCTGTAGCGCAGCAGGCCTTTCTGGTATGTTCAGGTGTTTCACGAGGGTCAAAAAGATCCGATATAGGAGCTACTAAAGTGTTCTTCTATTATTTTTTTTTGTCTGCAAGTCCCATGTGCAGGACAGGAAATAGATCCTGAAATGAGATTTTTGTCCAACATTTCCAGCTTTTTAAATTGTTTACAGAGCTGTAGTGATACGTGTGACATGTCAGGGCCATTCAGATCTTTTATTATGAAAGTGTAAACTAATTAACAGTAAAAAGTCGATGTAAAAAAAGGCTTATTTCACGGCTTAAACTACAGGAAGTGAACCCTGCTGTTAGGACGTGAAGCTTGTGAAAAATGTCAAACTCTAAACTTTAGCTTGTCGTGTTGCTCCAAGCCCAACATTAAAATAATTCATGAAACAACAACCAGAACTTTTAAGACTTTTTTATTTGTATTTCCAAAGCTTGAGACAACCACTGTCATTAAGCAGCACACCGTGGTCTGTGGTGAGAACAAGGAACAGGTGGAAGAGAACTTGGAGAGGTGTGTGTGTGTATGCACTTGAAAGAAGAGGAATGAAAGTCAGCCGTAGTAAGACGGAGTCCATGTGTGGATGAGAGGGAGGAGGTGGAACAGTGAGGCTACAAGGAGCAGAGGTCACAAAGGAGCAGGACTTCAAGGACTTGGGGTCCACTGTCCAGGAACATGGGGAGTGTGGGAAAGAGGTGGAGAAGAGAGTCCAGGCAGGATGGAGTGATGAAAAGATACAGGAGTGATTTGTGACATAAAGGGTGTCAGCAGTGGTCAAAGGACATGTTTGTTGTATGGTCTGGAGACAGAGACATGGACAAAAAGACAGGAGACAGAATTGGAAGTGGCAGAAATGAAGATGTTGAGGTTCTCCTTAGGAGTGACAAGGATGGATAAGATTAGGAATGAGCTCATCAGAGGTACAGCACAGGTTGAACAACTGGGAGATAAAGTTAGAGAGGACACACTGAGATGGTTTGGACATGACCAGAGGAAGGACAGTGGTTTGGACATGTCCAGAGGAGGGACAGTGGTTTGGACATGTCCAGAGGAGGGACAGTGGTATATTATTTATTTATTGAGATCAATTATCTATTTTGCACTAGAGGCCTGGGCCTGAAGGCAGCCTCACGTGCATGTTGACTGTGGGAGGAAACAGGAGTACCAGGAGAAAACCCATGTGAACACGAGGAGAACATACAAACCACACAGGTGGGGATTGAGCATCGGATCTTCTTTCTGTGAGACCATAGTGCAGTAAACCATCACGTGACTCATGACACTTGGAAGAAGTAGTAGGATGTTAGAAATGCAGCTGCCAGGAAAAAGACAAAAAATAAGGCCCAAGAGGAGATTTATGGAGGACATGGAAGTTGACATGATGCGAACGGTAAGATTGCTCCACCCAAATGGAAATGTAACCCAGGGTGAGATAACCTCAGAAAAACAAATAAAGATGGCTGCAATGGTTGAGGTAGTGAAGCTCACAGCGTTACCTAAAACATTTACTGAGGCATTTCTGTCTTATCAGCCAACATTAAGGTAAAAAAGACAGGAGAATAATAATAATACTCAAAGCTACTGCTAACTTAAAATATAGTGCAGTAGAGATTTTCATGCTGCAGAGTGACAGAGCAAGAATTTACAGTAAAATTCAGTATGTACTGAGTGTAAGCTTTACATTATATAACCTATTAAACACTGTGTACTTGGTCAGTTTAGTTTTAACTGATCATATCAAACCAGAAGTTGTAACATATATCTACATACAAAACAAAGCACAACTAGTTTTAACCTTTCATGTAACCATTAAGCATACAATGTCATTAGGGCAAAAATGGAGGATTTACCTGCAGTTACCTTCGTGCAGATGAACATGCGGTACTTCCTGTTTATCACTGTGGTATTCAGCTGCTCAGTCACCAGCCTTCACACACCTTTTACATTTTTCCAGCCTCCGTTTAGGTTTTGGAAATGAAATTAACCGAATTCCTCCCTCTAAACCCTTTTTTTCTGGTGATATTTCACGAAATCCCGCAGACTGTAAAGCGTTCTTAATGCAAAACACCAACAATGTTGTCAAAGGAAAAGGGGGCGTCCACTTGGGTATAGATTACGATCGTTGATTAGTTGGTTGCTGATAAGCCTACTGGATTGATTGACAGGTTGTGTCATGTCAACTGGGGTGAGGGATGGAGGAGGGTGAGTCGCTGTGGAGACCCCTGAAGAGGGAGCAGCCAAGAGAAGAAGTTTCTCTACTTTGTCAGGAAAAAATATGTTTCTGAACATAAATCACAAATTAAATTCTTGTGGACCTTTCACACATGTCTGTTGAACCGTACGGTCCTAGTTCAGAAAACTGGTTTGAAACGCAACAACCCAGCAGGTTGACGGCATCAAGAGAGTTTTGGCCAAGTGGTGTGTAAATAATGACTCTACAAATATTGGAATTGCTTTTTGTAAACCTTAATTTCATGCTTAGAAAAAAGAAAATGTTTCTTCCAAACCAGAAACTTGTTCTACAGAACGATGCGAGCCTCATTCGCTGTGAAATAAACGCCTCGGGTGCTTTGCCTCCATAACCAAACAAATATCTGAGATAGATGGATGGAGTTTTCTAACCTATCAGTCTTTGGAATTAAAATAAAAAAGGAGGTTGGATTGAAACAGATTGTACTTTTATTCACATGAAAATTCATTTTCGATGATACCCATGAGCAAAGACTGATGCATTTACTTTATTTATGTAATTTATTTATGTAATTTATTTATGACGTGACTCGAGGATTTTGAAAGCAGCGTTTTGCTCTGCTGCTTTAACCCAGATGTATTTTGACCTGGAAGTAACTTCATGTCAACTAACAGCAGTTCACCCTGAGGACAGCATGAGGCACATGCACATTATCCTGCCTTTTCTAATAATCTAAAATAAAATAACGTTAAATAATCTGGTTTGAGTTATACCGAATATACAACAGACATTTATTTTACATACCTAATGCATGTAGCAGCTAAATAAAACTGCACAGTCTTTCATAGACTAGGTGAATGATACCTCAACAATTGTGACTTAAAGACAATTTATTTCATCAGTAATATTACATTAATTCTAAAAAAGTGTGTGCATTGTGTAAATGTACATGAAACAGAATGCAGTGATTAAAAAAATCTCACAAAGCCATTTTTTTTCATAATGGATCGTAGTAAACGCATCAAATGATGCAATTGTGTCATTTAAAAAATTATAAATATTTTATTAATAAAAGGACATTTTGAGTTTATAGCAACAACACATCTCAACAAAAGTTGTGGCTATAAAAATAAAAGTAAGCGAATAAGAAACAGTTGGAGGAGCATTGTGCAACAAAATGGGATTACTGGTATCAGGTGAGTCAGAGAACTGGGTATAACAAGTGACGTTTAGAGAGGCTGACTCTCTCAGAAGTAAAGATGGGCAGAGGTTCACCAGTCTGTGAAAAAAATGTCTAAAATACTTGAACAATCTCAGTAAAGTGTGAAAACTTTGAATATCCCATCAACATCGATTCACAATATTAAAATCAAAGCTCTGTAAAAATCTCTGAGCTCAAAGGACTGAAAGTCAATATTTTAAACAAGGTGGTTTCACAGCTTTCTTTGTCGACAGCTTCAGGGTTTAGTTTGACTCTGAACATCTCATCTACTCCTATACGCATGTCTCATCTCAACCGTGCCACAGAGATACTGGATGGTCGTGATCTGTGAGCCCTCAGGGGCTCCTGCATTATAAACAGTTTGGTTCTGTTCTGGACAGCACGTCATGGACTCAAGAACATTTCCACTGATCTTTGTCTGGAAACATAATTCATCCACAAAAGCTGCTTAAAGCTCTATCAGACAAAGAAGAAGCCGCATGTGAACACTGCCCAGAACCGCTGCCATCTTCTCTGGACCAGAGCTCATTTGAAATGGACTGAGGTGAAGTGGAGAATCGTTCCGGATAAAATCTGAAATGAATTTTCAATACTGCTGACCAGTGGTGTAGTCTAAATTTTTGTAGTGGGTATACTGTACTTGGAAACCAAAGTACACCAGTAAGTACAATGTAATCGTTAATTCATTTTTGAATTTTAAACATATTGAACATTTCAAACTTTCTCGGATGCTTCTAGTACAACAAAACTTTGTACAACAGTTGGTTTGTAATAAAAACATGGTATAGAATTAATAAAATAGTATCAAACAAAACATGTTCCAAGTATCAAGTAGTAAGTACAGAAGTATTGGTTATACAAAAAACGGGTTGAACCAACTCAATGTGTCCATAAAATGTTCCAGATGTGTTGACAATGACCTGGGCTTGTGTCGTTGGGCACTTTTAAGTGGGTATACTGCAATTCCCAAGCTTTTCTAGTGGGTACACTCCGTATATCCACTTATTACATAGACTACACCACTGCTGCTGACTCCATGTCCTCTGTTCTATAAAGGAGAGGAACCATCCATCCCTCAAACAAAGAAGACCAGGACTTTTGAACATCTGCTCCATCAGACCAGAATGAAACAAGATTCCCTTCAAAAACTCCAACAACTGGTTTTCAGTCCTTGGTAGAGCTGTCATTTCTAACCCGAGCCTGGGCCCGGCCTGAATAATGTGCTTGATAGGCGGGGCGGGGCGGTCTCTGGCTTTTGATACAGTTTTACGAATCAATTCAATTAAGTTCAGTTTATTTATATAGCGCCAAATCACAACAAAGTGTTCTCAGGGCACTTTACAGAAACATTC